CCACAATAGAGGGTGTTCCCAAGTCTGGACAACTTTAGGCAAACTTTTACTCTTGGCCCTAAACAGTAGCTACAATTTATCTCTTCATTACATTTTGTCTGTAACCACAGCAAAGAGGCACTGACATCTGGAAGTGAATCCTGAGATACAGTTAGAGAATCATCAGGCTGAGAGGATTCTGGTACTTTCTTCTTCCATTGAGGTCCCTGGGCTTAGGTCAGCGTTTGTACCTTTCATGTGGGTGAGGAGAAAGCTCACATGCCCTGCAAGAGGCATCAGACCAGTCTGCCTTGGCTCCCTACTGATGATTTGGGCTGGGACAGAGCTGGTTTTCTTCTGAGAGCCCTGCATGGGGCTGGTTTGGATTTGTGTTGGAATCATGGATGTTGATAGATCATGGATGTTTTTGTTATTGTTGGGCAAGGCTTACACAAGGTCAAGGCCTCCTGTGCTCCTCATCCCACCCCACCAGTGAGGAGGCCAAGGGTGCAAGGGGACTCAGCCAGGACAGTTGACCCCAGCTGACCCAAGGGATGTCCCAAACAATATGGGGTAAAACTAGGGGAAGGAAGGGGGGACATTTTGAGTGATGGTGTTTGCCTTCCCAAGTCACTGTTACATTTGGCAGTAACATCCCCCTGCTGTCCTGGGGATGGCTGAACACCCGACTGCCCATGGGAAGTGGGGCATGAATTCCTTGAGGTTTTTGTACTATTTTTGCTTTACCAATTGAACTGTCTTTATGTCAACCCATGACTTTCCTCGGTTTTACACTTCTGACTCTCTCCTGATGCTGTCGGGGGAAGTGAGCGAGCGGCTGCGCGGGGCTGGGTCCCCAGCTGGGGTTAGACCCGACACCAGTGCAATGACCGGAGAGCAGGAGGAGCCTGGAGAGGCGCTGGGAGCAGGCAGCTCATTTAGACACTGCTCAGCCCTGCGGGGGACAGACGTCTCTGCTGGTTGTGTAGGGAGCCTTGCAGGATTAAGTATCTAAATTGGGAACCTAAGGTTAGATCCTCTGAGGGAAGGAATGAATATCACCTTTTTTTCCAAGCATGTTATAGCCTCACATATTTTATAATTCTGGTCATTGTTCACATCTTAAGAATCTCACATACAAAAAAAAAATCTAATGTTAACACCAGGGAAATATAAATCACTTTAACAGTGAGGACAATATAGGATAAAAGATGAGTGTGGGGAAGAGAAAGAGAGCAAATGAAGAGGAGCAGGAATGGGTGTAGTGACAGAAGGGCTTTGGTCGATCACCTGGTGCACAAGCAGAAGGGAAAATAAGAACAACCCATTACACGGAGCAGTGCTGCCACACAGTGTCTGGGAAGCAGCTCTGAGCAGCAACTCAGGACACTGCAGCAGCAGTGACTCGGGGAGCTTTATGTTTAATGTCAAGAGCAAACAGGACACCGGATTGTTTGCTGAAGGAATGCTAAATGGAAAGGCAGGCGGCAGCAGTACTGCCAGGGAAGGACCTGCTCTGAGCCTGACTGGCAGCCTGACTGATTAGCCTGGTTCACAGGCTGCTGCAAATTCTCAATGGCAGTCATGAAGTTAAAACTGGATTAAAATCCTTTCTTTTAGCAGAATAATCAATTTACATATATATATATATAACTTTCAAAGTACATACTAAAATTTCTGATAGTCTCCCATACATTAATCCTGTAACTGATTTTTAATTACTACTTCATAATTAATAATTAGAGCCTCTATAAAGAAAAGGCTGATATACAAATTACCTTTCCCAGACTTTTCAAAGAAAAAAACACAGGGGTAGGACTCAAAGGTAGCAGGGTTATGGGAGTTTGAGAGGTGCGGACAGAATAAAAGGGGGTTTCATGCCCTTAGAAAATCCCAGCACAATTAAGTATTTTCCTGAAGTTTCTGTGATATTTCTATCCTAATAGCAACATAGAAAACACAAATTGTCTAAGGACACAATAAAAATGTTACACAGACAGCACCCATCCTGTGGTGGTGGGGCTCAGCTCAGAATCCTTGCTAAATGGAAACAAAAAAAGCAAAATCTTTTTTCTTCTTTTATTTAGTCAGTCCTAGAGGGTTCCACATCAGAGACACCATCATGCACTAGTCTATCTCTTTGCTAGCAGAATTTACAAAGCAGGGAAATAAATGGTTTTCCTTGGCCTGGGTGCAAGAACAGGACCCTGCTCTCCCTGTTATCCTGGAACTACTACACACCTGAGCAGAATTAAGCAGTCTTTCAGTTCTTAAGGTGCCAAACCCCTCTGGCTCCCAGTGGGATTTGAATGCCTTCAGCAGTGTTGAAAATCAGGTCACAAGATCCTCTGGGAATGCCAGCGTTTGACGAGAGATAATTTGCATGAAACTCTGCTAAGGATATGTCTGCCTCATGTTCCATAAAATACTCCCAAGTTTTCATCATAGCATTCCAATTAATAGAAATGTCCTTATGGATAAATGTACTAATTTACATGTGTGTATGTGGATGTATTTTACATTTCAGCTGCATCCCAACAAGGTCTGCCTTTGCCCTGGGTGGACCTGCTATTTATAGCAGCAGGTGCTCCTGCAAGATTCACATCCCATCTGGGCTTGCTGAAAGCCAAGGAAATAAAGACCCAAATAAATACCTGTGCTTCACGAAGGAAGGGATCCTGTATCTTTATTGTCCATGCATGCTCTCTAGAAACAGCACAATGGAGAGCACAGAGGGCTTTACAGCAGCTAAGCACACTTCAATCTCAAACCATCTTCTCCTGCACAGTGTGACACCCTGATAGTTTCTGGAATGATCTAAGGATGAAGTCACCTCATATCCTTTGTAATCTCCCTTTTTATTTTTTATGAGGATCTATACAGCTAAAGGTTTAAAAAGCCCTGTCTGGTACTTGCAATCCTGGCTTCTGTCTGTCTCCAGTTGAAACTGTGAGCTCAGTCACATCCATAATGCTGCTGGCAAATGCTATGAAAAGGAAATCTGCCTGAAATTGGAAAGTTTTTTCAGTACTTTCTCAGAGAAGACAGCAGCAGGTCCCCTAAATGCACTGGGGAAACTGCAGCCAAAAAACAATCTGTAATGGGGGTGGGTGTGAAAGGAAACATGAGGTTGTCAATCAAAATTAAAAAGAACTGAATTTCCAGAGAGCTGGAAACACTATATAAAAAATAAGCTTTTTGGAGAAGACCGCAAAAATACTCTTTCCTTGGAAATGGACAGAAAAGGGACAAACAGATGGAAAAGGAACTGGAAGAAAAAAAAATCAGGTGGTGTTCACAAGTTTGAAAGAGGTCAGTGGTCAGGGGATTGGGAACTCCTCCCAGAGCAAGCACACCTGTTGTGTTCTCGGTGTGCTGGCCTTTGCCAAACCAAGCAGGGACTTTGAAACTGCTGAGATCCGTATATGATCTCATTTGCTTCTAAATGGAAATTTTAATTTTTTTTTTTTTCCTGCAAATTCCTACTGCATATTAAAAGTAAATTTTGGAAGAACTTTTCAGTGAATGACCATGAGGTACAAACAGCCCTGAGAAAATGGTCATGAGAGCCCAGAGCAGAATTAGCTCTCAGGTCTGACAGTGACCTTCAACACTGAAAAATGTACATAAATATACATAAACGTACTGTGGCTCCTACTGTAGAGCCACAAAGTCCAGGAATTTGAGGGGTCATTGTGTTAGGCAACATAAAATCAGTAAGCAGAAAGTCTCCACATCTGTGTAAGCAAATATATTACTAAACACAAAATTCAAATTTCTTTTATAAGGCTGATGTTCACAACTGAGAAGCCTCAATTACCCCTACAGTCAAAAAAGCTGCAGAGGTTCAACAGACAGTGACAAAAACTGGAGACACATCTGGGAACCTACAAGTACTTAGCAACAACTCACGAGAACAGGGAGATCAGGAAGCAGGAGCACAGATTTACATTTACAATGAGCACATGCTGGACATAAATCTATTCCATTTTAGGGTAGCTGTATCATGTGGGAAAAGGCTGCTTGGTCCTTGGGCCTCACAGCATCTCCTGGCACAGGAGATTGTTCCCCAGCTGCCTCAGCCACATGGCTGCCTCTCTTTTAGCTTGACTTCTGGAACACAGGTGACCAGAAGCGTAAGCAATATTCAAGAGAAGCTGTGAATGTGCCTGTAAGTCCCTAAATACTCTGAATTTTAAAATTATATTTGAAGTTTAAAATCACAAAACTACCTCTTAAAATCACATTTGCCTTTTTTTTTTTCTTCTTGAATGCATCATATAGACTATATATGATAGTAGAACCTGACTCTGTAGAACCAATTAGAACATACAAGGCCTTTCCCATGACAATTTCTAGATGATGAGTTCCCAGCGAATAAATGATGATTTTCTTAGCTCCCAAGTAGCCCTGCAGAACTGAATGTCATGTCATGCCAGTTACTCTGGGCCTCAAAGCGATGTCATTTTCTCTGCATGACACCACTGTCCTGTCATGACAGATCCCACCCCAGTGCCACTGACAAATTCTCTCAGCACAGTCCTAATCTCCATCCCACAGTCACAGATGCAAGTGCTCAGTGGAATATGAAGAAATTATCACATTTCTGAGTGCTGGAGAGTGTCCAGAGAAGGGCAGTGGGGCTGGGGAAGGGGCTGGAGCACAGGTCTGAAGAGGAGCAGCTGAGGGAGCTGAGGGAAAAGGCAGCCTGGAGGAAAGGAGGCTCAGGGAGGACCTTTTTGCTCTCTACACCTCCCTGACAGGAGGGTGTAGCCGTGTGGGGGTCGGGCTCCTCTCCCAAGCAACCCGCAACAGGACAAGAGGATATGATCTTAAGCTGTGACAGGACAGGCTTGGGTTGCACACAGGGAAGAATTTCTTCACAGAAAGAGTAACTGGACATCGGGGCTGCGCGGGGGAGGTGGAGGAGTCACTGTCTCTGGAGCTGTATAAGGAAAGCTGGCCGTGGCACTCAGTGCCATGGTCTGGTTGACAAGGTGGTGTTTGGTGACAGGTCGGACTCGATGGTCCCAGCGGTCTTTTCCAGCCCAATCGATTCTGTGACTGTACCCCGGCAGGAGCACAAGGCCAGGGCCAGGCTCGGGACACGCCGCCAGCCCCGGTGCCGCGGAGCTCCGCCCCTGCCCGGCCCGAGCCCGCAGCGATGGCGGCCCGGCTGTGCCGGCTGCCGAGGCGCCTCACGGCCGCCTTCAGCAGCGCCGCGGCCGACCCGCCGGCGGAGCCGCTGACGGAGCGGCGGCAGGCGGGGGGCGTGCGGTGAGCGGGGGCGCCGGGGGCTCCGCGACGCGGCCGCGTTCGGAGCTCGGTGACCGTAACCCCGCTGTGTTTCACGGGTTTTGCAGCACCATCGTCCTGAACAACCCGCGGCGGCGGAACGCGCTGTCGCTGCCCATGCTGCAGAGCCTGCGGCGGGACCTGCTGCACGACGTGAAGAGCCGGGAGCTCCGCGTCATCGTCATCGCGGGTACCGCGGCCCCGGCCGGGTGGGCAGGGGCACCCGGCGGCCGAGACCCAAACCTCGCTGGAGTTACGGGAAGCGGGGAGGGAAGGGATCTGTGTGTTCCCTAAGGCTCCCCTGTCTCCCGCGGCTGTCAGCGCCCGGCAGGCCTCCCTGTCACGCTTTTCCTCTGTACTCACCCCAGCTTCCCCTTTCCTGTACTTAATTCCTCATTCCTAACTCGGCACTAACGACTGCCTGGGGTTTTGTTGCGCTTTTGGTTTTAGCCAACATGTCTAAGCATGAACACGTCAATATTTCGGTCGGGTTCTGAGGGTGTTTACACTCGGCAGTTTAGGGTCAGGGTTAATTGGTTTTAAGGAAAAAAAAAGTTCTAAGAGTTACCAAAGTAAAGCATTAACATCCCCACAATGGGGGTTTTGTGCAGGAACAAGCAAAGGTAGGATGGCGCTTGTTGCCCTGTTGACAGGTATAGGCTGTAGTAAAAAAAGGTTTCTGCAAATCAAGTGCTCTGCTTCCCTGCTCTGAGCCAGGAACAGCCTCATCATTTGGTTTGTCAGAACTATTTTTAAAAACACTCCAGTGAAAGAGAGACTGCAATATCAATACCACAGGCACCCATGAGCCCATGTAAAACAGCCTCGCCCAGAGCCTGTTACAGTTTCTTTCCATTTACATATTAAGCTGTAGAGTTCTTAAAGATAGTGAAACTTGAGACGTACTTAAGCCATCTTTTTTTCCTCTTGCTATTTTAAGGTAACCTTCCAAACATCTCAGATAAATTGGTTTATTAATTTAGGATCATGCTGTTTCCTATACATAGGGGAAAACTCTGTGTATTAGGACACACACAGAGAAAAAAGAGAGCTGATTTCACAGGGGTGAGTTTAAATATACACATTCCTCATTTCAAACAGCAGTTAGAAATTTTGCGAAACACTGACGGCTCTTTGGGAGTACAGTGCTCTGGGAGTTTGTGAGCACAATTGCGTTTGGTTTTTTAGAAATTGCATATTCCTGTTTATTTCTAATTCCCCTGCTGAGTAAGAACCAAAAGAAGAAAATTCAAGAAAATAAAAGATTCCTCAGAGAATGCTTTGGGCCTTTACCACAGACTTTGCAGCGGATTCTTCAGTGAGATTCAAATGTAGATGTAATTAATCTCCACATATATATTGCCAACCCCATGAGCTGACTGACGTTGTATGGTTATTTCTGGATAGATTGTGTCCAAATAATCTGATTCATAAGAAACAAATTCATAGGTGAGGTTTGATCTGCACAGGTGTAGCTGGAAATGTCACATCCATATAAATACCTGAGAAGTTCTGAAGGATTGGAAAGCATCACATTGGTTCATTCTAATGGCAGGTAGTCACATGACAAAGGAAAACTTGTAAAGATTGTATACCTGTATAGAGTGTTTTGATCTTAGCAAATCCAAAGTTTAGTTCCACAGAAACCTTCTCTTTCACTGCCCAAACCCTGAACATGCTTTTGGGGGTTCTCTAGATGACAGTTTAGTAGTGGAGAAAACACTCCAACAACCCTTCTGGTTCTCCTGTAGCACAATAACCTTTTTTTGTTCTCTTTCCATTGTGACCTTCAGTACCATGACAGGAAAAATACTGATGCTTGTTTAGCAAAAGTTAATAATTAATTCTGGGTACAATAAATAGGGACTAAGTGTATTTATCAGTCTGAAAGCAGAGCACTCCAGCTTTGCTTCAGCTGATAAGCTTGTGTTGTACTAAGGAGCTGTTTTGAACATCCTTACACAAAACTGGGCTCAGAGGTGAAGTGCATTCTTTCTAACTGAGTTAAGTGTAATGGAAGTAAAATGAGACCTTGAAAAGTGGTAATGGGTGTTACTGTTCTTAAATGTTGCATGGCAGCAATTTAAAGTTACCACAAAACCCAGAAGGCAGTATTTTGGAATTCTGTTCAAAACTCCCTCCCCAAACTCCTTTTTGAACATCGACGTGTCATTGACATACCTTTAGCTGGGACATTGATATGCTGCAACCACTGATTTCTTTATTACTTCAGACTGACTTTTCCTGAAATTCTCTGCAGCTGAAGGACCTGTATTTTGTTCTGGCCATGATTTAAAGGAACTGTCAAGTGAAGATGATGTGAAGCATCATTCCCAAGTATTTGAATTATGTGCAGAGGTAAGCAGTTCTTCTTGAATGTCTCTGCCATTGCCTGCTGTTAAGAGCAAGCATTGGTTTCAGGAGGGATGCCATTGGTCATCTGCTTGCTGAAGTACAGATTCAGATTCCTTCACATTCCTTCACATTCCTTCACAACATATGATTTTTGCTGCTGTGCTATTTTAATGCCTGGTCCTGGTGAAATTAGGTTTTCCCTGGATTTCTCTGCATGCACTTAGAAGGGCTAGAATGCCAATGTGCATGTATCCAACAATGGGCACAGTCAGGGTGTGTTCCTTAGTTTAACCAGTGTTCCTTGCCTCTGAGTATCTGGGCAATGTCTTTTCTAGAAGTTTAGGATAACCACTTTCACATCACTTGTGACCAAATGTTCTTTCCCAGCATTTATTTAGTTAAAAGTTCAGAATCAGCTTAAACAACAAGTAGACAATGTGAAAGTAAGATCTGACTCACTGGTTGTCCAAGTTCTTGTTAAGACACAGGTCAGGGAGGTGGGGAAGTTAAAGTGAATCCTGGAGCCTTTGCAGAGAATGGCAAAATCCCCTTTGATAGTGGTGGAGCTAGAATTTGACCCCTAATCCTCCTCAGTGTGACAACAGTGAGTACTTTGAAACCTTTTGTTCTAGTTCCTCCAGTACTAATGATCCCTAAGACATTGCTGAGCCCATATTTAAGGAATGCTGTAAAAGCCATGTGTGAAAGCCACAGACCCTCACCATCCTTTCATCAGAAAGGAGCCAAGATCCAGCAGTCTGGGGTTTTTTTGATAAATAGTGAGGAAGGTACTTTTGGTGGCTTCCAAAACAGGATTGTGTCATTCTGAATCTCCATACTGACCACTCTTTTGTGCTTGCAGGTTATGACTTTAATCCAGAAACTTCCAGTGCCAGTGATTGCCAAAGTAAACGGCTTGGCTACAGCAGCCGGCTGCCAGCTCGTGGCAAGCTGTGACATCGCAGTGGCAAGTGAGAAATCTCAGTTTGCTACTCCTGGAGTAAACATTGGGCTGTTCTGCTCCACACCAGCTGTGGCCTTGGGCAGATCTCTTCCAAGAAAGGTAAACTTCCTATCCAGATAGTCTTCATAATTTTGCATAAAGTTGGTTCCCATGTTAATAGTTTTAGTTCCATTGCCTGAACTTTATTTTCCTGCAGTGCAACATTCAAAATACTTTATTTCAAAAGGCATCTCCATAACTCTTTGGACTGGGAAAAATAATAAAGGGTGAACTCTTGTTTAGGAAAGGCAGCTTTCTACTGATGTGACTCCAACCAGCACGAGCTCATCCCAGCAGCCCACCAGCTCAGCAATCCCTTTCCTTTCCAACAGACAGCTCAGGGCTTTAGCCAATGATGTTCTTCCCTGAGGAGGAAACCCCTGCAAGTTCAGGATAACAATCCCACCGAGGCATCAATTCTTGCCAGGCAATGACATTTCACTGCCAGCAGGATCTGCCTGGCTGTAGATCAAGATGCTTTAAATAGCATCTAAAATCCTCCTATAGTGTCTTCCTGTTTTATGTCCTACTGGTTGTGGCTGCACATCTCTCACTGCATAAAAAATAGTACAACCTGTAAAGCCAGTTGGATTCATGCAGGCAGACGGTCCAAGCCCAGCAGGGCTCTGCTGAGATGCAGTGACTGAACTGCACACACCCCATTGCTGGATAAAAGCTTCAGCTTGAAATTTCCCATCTGCAGGGACATCCTGTTCAAACAGAGTCCATGGGGGATTTTTCCAAGTCTGCTCTCGTGTGCAGTTGCAGCTGTTTCTGAGTTAGTATTTCTGGGCTGTAGGATTACCTTTTTAAAATGTGTGGGAAATACTTTTCTCTGTGCCACTTTTCAAAACAATAAGAACATTCCCTGCAGTTCCCAGAACTGGTGATTTTTACCTTTTAACAAAAGAATTTGCCATTGTTTGTAGCTCCAGAACAAAGATGCTAATGAGGATAATCAGCTCTTATGATTTGGGCATTGGTTAGTTGCTCCAGAAGTCTTGGAAAACTTTATTGATACATAGCATTGAATAGTCACTGAGTATTTGGGGAATTTTTTAGTCTCAAACTTCAAGCATCAGAGGCTAGAAGCACCAGGACACTGAAATAATGTGGCTATAAAAAGTCCATATTTAAAGCCACTCATACTAAACTTAAAACTAGGGCAGGTGTTTTCAAAAACTGCACATATGCCCAGCTTAAAATACCAAGTTTAGTCATTTGACTTTGTAGATGATCCACTTCTCTTTTAGTTCTTACAGCAATCACTAGAGGCTGTGAGCTTTTGGATAGAAACCCAGGGTTGTCAGTCTAGGACAGCTGGAATGAGCAGGCAGGTTTGAAGAGACTAGCTTTAGACCCAGTCCTGCTCTTTGCTAAGACCTCTTAACAGGTCTTTGGCAGTTTAAAAGACCAAAATATCTAAATCGTTTGTGAAAAGAATAACTTGTACTTGAAGGAGGAGGCTGAAATTCCCCAAACACAGCAAAGCACTGAGTTGGGTTGACTTAATACAATATTTTTCCTTGTTCAGGTGGCACTGGAGATGCTTTTCACGGGTGAACCTCTCTCTGCCCACGAAGCGTTAATGCACGGGCTGGTCAGCAAGGTGGTACCAGAAGAAAAGCTGGAAGAAGAGACCATGAAAATATCTCAGAAGATATGTGAAAGTAGCAAATCCGTCCTGGCCTTGGGGAAGGCCACCTTTTACAGACAGATAACCCAGGACCTTGACACTGCTTACAAAATAACTACTAAGGTCATGGTTGATAATTTGACTTTGAGAGATGGGCAGGAAGGCATTGAAGCCTTTGTTCAGAAGCGTAAGCCTGTCTGGTCACACTCTCAGGAGGAGAAGAAATGAGTCCTGTCCCTAAACAAACCTTGCTGTGCTTTATGATTCTTCACACAGTTGCCTTTGGGAACTATATTTTTATTCTCACTGAAAGTTAAATTTCTCTTCTTACAAATGCCAGACACAATAAATTTACTCTAAGTATGTAATAAATGTTAAGAAAAGTCAAAGAAGATGGATTTTCTTTGATAGCAGTGAATTTAATCTGTGGTTTTAAAAGTAACTCTGTGCTGCAAAAAACAGTTTAACGTGTCTCAGGTTACACAGGGAGTCACAGGGGCTGAGAGAGAGCTCAGATCACCTTGTTCAGCACCTCCCCTCCATAGTTCTGGATGAGAATTGTTATTTATTGTTATTAAGAGAGAACTGAAGGGCCTGGACACATTCCAGAGATGATGCTGGTAGGTATGATAATGGGTTCCTGGACTGTTAGAGTGTTACAGACAGAAGCCTGTAACACAGTTGTCCACTGCTCCTCATATCTTCCTGTGAACTGTATGTGACAGCAGTTTGTCCCCCACAAATCCTGATTTTCCACCATCAGTACAACTCCCAGCTCTGGGGAGTTTTGTTGACTGCAGGGAGGGTGAGCATGGGTTGGGGTGAAAGGCAGTGTCTTGCCCCAGTTGCAGTTTTCAGGCTGGTGTGTTTGTTGGGAAGTCCATCCTTGTGCTCAAAGCTGGGCTTTTACCAGCACTGGAGCAGTTCAGCCATGGATTTAAAGACTTGACAACTTCCTAAAAAGGGGTTCAGCTGCTCCCCTGGGTATTCAATTGCAACCCTCCAGGTGAATTTTTTATTAATATCCAGTCTAAGCCTTGAAGCAGCATTTTCTGGCCATTCCCCTTTGTTCCATTATTTATCATGATTGAGAAAGTTTAGCTGCATTACCTGTGTAACTCTCTTCAAGCAGTCACAGGCTGCATGTAGACCACACTCAGATTCCTCTGTGCTAGACTGACGAGCCCTGCTTCCTCCACCCTCCTTGTAGGTCATGTTCTCTGGGTAACCAGTTTGGCATCCCTCCAGTAGACCAGTTCCAGTTTCTCCACATCCCTTTTGTACTGGTTGTGCCAAAACTGGGCTGTATTCTCAATGTGGCCTCACCAGACTTGAGCAGAGGAGAGCAAAACAGGCCTGTGGGTAGTGCTCAGTGTGTGTTTTGTCTGCTCTGTGATGAGAGTGCACTGCTGGCTTGGATTCAGCAGGCATCCCCTGGGAGCCCATTTCCAGCAGGACTGTACTCTGCCAGTCCACTCCTCACCTGTACTGCTATCCTGTACTGGTTATTCTTCCCAGGTGAAGAAACTTGCATTTCTCCTTGAATCGTGGTTGGTTTGGATTGCAGCCAGGCCATTTGGGGTGTCAGCCAATGCCCCAGCTTTGCAGAATCTGCAGATTTGCTGAGGATGTGTTATTGATGGGAGTGCTGGATGAAAGGAGCCTTGGTATCAATCCATGGTGATCAGCTTGGGATGACCTCACAGCAAACACATTTTTTCTGAAGTTCCACATAGCCAGATCATGAGGGCTCATCCATCCCACCCTTAAACAGATGTCTAAGCAAGACCATGTGAATCACAGTAAGGATGGGCCTTTTTTATTTGTTGACAGTAAAAGCAGCCTAAAGGGCTTGGTGCAGACCTGGATGTCTTAAGTTGGCTCAAATTAATCCCACCTATGGCTACTAAAAGTCCAGATGTGGAAATATCAGTTACACAGTTCCACAAAGCAAGTCCTTTTAACATCTAGAGGTTCAAAAGAACAACATTTTTCATTTCTGCTACAAGTTTTAATTTTAAAAAGGGAAACTTAAACTTTAATTGACCATTACACTGTTTCACACTGAATGTGAAAAATGTGCATCATTGGCACTAGCTGTTTAAAAATACAAATTTTTATTGTTACCACCAGGAAAGATGGGTTTTTTAAGGTAAGTTTTTTACAAACTCACCTAGTTTATATAGGTTAGAAACTGATATGAGCAATTGCGAGATGGAAGAGTTAAATCTGGAGCCCAATAACCTTCATCATGTCCTCTCCAATGCTGCAAATGTAAGATGCTGCACTTAGACTCTGTTCCCACATGCTGCTCTAAAAGCATTAGGAAAGAGTAAATTGTTTTTAAAAATATTTATATTTAATGGCTATCCTGCAACTACTCAGCAAATCTCAACTGGCTCTTTTGTTCCAGGCTTTTAGAAATAAGTACATTATCTGATTTTGCAGAACAGTGCCCTTTCCAGCTGGCTGCAGTAATGAAATGGTTTCATTGGCCACCTTAAAGCATGAGTGACAGTTTAGATGAGCACATTCTTTCAGATATTCAGAAATTCTTCTACAGTTGATTGCCATCTACAGGGTTTGGCATTATTATTAACGCCATTCAGATCTTTAAGAGAAAATATATTTTTGTTTTAACTCAGTTTTCACAGTATTTGTACTATTTCATGAAATAATTACTTAATTATAGAATTATAGTATCATCCTAGGCTGGTTTGGATTGGAAGGCACCTTAAAAACCATCTAATTCCAACCCCACAGCAGAGACACCTTCCACTAGACCAGGCTATTCTTGAACACATCCAGGAATGGGCATCCACAGCTTCTCTGGAAAACCTGCTCCAGTGCCTCACCATCCTCAAATTAAAGAATTTCTTCCTAATACCCAATCTAAACCTACCCTCTTTCAATTTCAAACCACTCTGCCTTGTCCTGTCAGTAGTGCTTTTGTAATTAGCAATCATCAGTTCTAAAAATGTTGCTATCCACAGGAACATTTCCCTCTTGCTTGAACACTAGACAGAAAAGCTTCAGAAGGTTTTATAACATTCCAACACTGGCCCCTGAAGACTGACAAAACAACTTAATTTTTCATTTCTGACTTGCATGGGCTTTTTATTTTTGCTCACATCTGCCCTTACTGTTTAATTTAATGGATTTACAGGCTATTCCTGGGAAACAGAGCAGTTCCAGAATTGTTAATTAAGTCCTACAGCCAAGAAACAGCAAATCAAATGATATATTGGGAGCCTTATCACCGTGTTTATCTGCTGCCTGAGGGAAGAGTTTGTCCCAAAATAGCAAGGATGCTATCCCTTGTCACCCCCTCCACTTTTATTAAAGAATCTCTCTGCAGAGAAGTCTGCCAGGTAATTAGCCTAGTTTCAAGTCACCCTAACAGCATGTGGCTCTGGAAACTAAGTGCAACTCCATCTGCACACAGGCTCTAGGATGCAGCTTATCCTTGGAAATGACCAACAGGGACACATTTTCTATCCATGTATACAGGAACAGCTGGAATGGAAACCAGTCATGATATGCAAGCAAGGAATTGCCAGCATGAATGGAATGAACTGCCTCAGAGTCAATGGAGGCCTTAAAGGAATGGCTTTGAGCTTTTACCTGGAAATTTTAGAAAAGATACAAAGGCAAAATCTAGAGGATACGATTGTTTTACTTGGGATATAGCTTCAGACTCCCCTCATGAACAAGGCAAATGAAAACCCAGGGAGAAGTGACAAATAACACAAGGCACAAGATTATTCCTAATTCATGGACCAGGCAATGACCTGCCTCACCACATCACCTGGGGAATATGTACTGAAAGTAGAGTTAAACAGAAGACATGGGTAATGGGCAAGATATTTATACCCTCTGTGCTCCACAGAGCCCAAGAACAGCTTATATAAGCTTTTATATAAAGTTCATGGAGTTTCCTTAAGGCCACCTAGCCCAGAATTCAGCAGCCTGGGTTGGTTTGAAGTAATCTCCTGTACTGTGGAGGAGAGAGCTTGAAAATACATCCTACAAAGGCCCAAAAAGCTGGACGTAGTTAACATTAAAAATACATGGCTACCTCAGTGTCAGGAGTCAGCAGCAGACTTTTTACCACCTAGCTCATGATTTGTGAGCATTTGGAAGGCAGCAGCATGTCCTTCACAGAAGTGCCTCTGGGTAATTCTTGTGTTGCCATTCCTGTATTGCAGACGGGGAAATTGAGGCCAAATGTGCTGTGCCTGAGGTCTCACGGTGACCCGTGGCACTGTAGCAGTGGCACTTGGAATGCTGACACCTGCTCCTTGTATTTCTTCAGCAACAAAGTTTTTGGTAAAATCAGCAGAAATGCAGGATGACGGCGTGCCCTGAAGTGACTGCAGAGGCTTCTGAACAGGAATTATGAGCTACTGCATCAAAGGCCTCTTGCTTGACATTTATTGGCTTTTTGATGAATGTTGGGATAATTCTACTGTCAACAGTTTCTCATTAGAAGCCTGGCAATGTACTTTCTGACCATTATCTTTCTCAATATCACACTGTGTTGCTACAAAGAGCAGGGGTTTTATGTAAAACCCATCTATCTCTGTAGCTGCAAACTTTTCTAATAATTCTACATTTAAATAATCTCATGGAAATGCTGGCTGCTGTATCTGAGCAATAAGGAGACCAGACAAATGGTTAAATTTCCATGATGACCTAAAGCTATAGGACAAATTTCATACTGCAACGAGTAGGATTCATTTGTCTTGATTCCACTGGCATTGCACCTCAATTATACTAATTCTGAATTTCACTGCTGAATAATGCATTCCCATCCTGCTTTACACTTGCAGAGGAAGGAAAAAAAACATCAGAGCTGTACCTTTCTCACTCTCCACAGTATGATGTACCACCTCCTGGCTGCTTATGGTCAATATTGGGAACTATTTTTGTCAAAACCATAGGCTTTCTAAAAAGGAGATAGTAGAAATATACCCCTAATACTACTGTGTATTTGGAAAGGGGAAAAGAGTTTCATTCAACTTTAATGTGCCCAACTGTACTAATTTACATGCTATGAGTTTTAAAGCATTAATATTTCTTTTAAATATTTGTATCCTGGAGACATAATACTGGGAACATCATAGGGCTATTGTACATTTTATTGATTATGGTTGTTATGGATAAAGAAATTAAACAGAACCAGATGATAAAATAATTAATGGAATTTCTACTACTAAAATGTGTTTGATTAATGATTAATATTCATAAGCTACTTAATATGAGAGGCTTTAATTTTCCCTCTGAGAGGCAGGATGGTGTTTTCAGCCTGCCAAAGCCAAGACTTGTAATGCTGTGGACTCTAACTAAAAATAAACTTTCCCCCCAACTCTAACCTCACTTTGATGGCAGT